GCTTCTCTTGAATCACTACTGCTAGATTCATGGGATACACCATTCTGCGCTGCAGTTAATGTTGCCATTGCTCGATCCTCGGGTTTGTTGATGTACTTGAACAGGTACTTGATGGCCCTGTAAAATTTAATAAAATTAATTATACACAAATGAGGAAATTAGGTGAACAAAAATGGTCACAAACAACACGATTTACATGTCCAGGCATAGGCAAACTCGAGACAGCTCAGAACCATGAAGGACAAACAAAATTGTGAACTATATTAGGCAAGTAGTTCAATCCAAATAATGCAAAAAACAAAAAAAAAAAATAGGCAAAAAGAAGTACTGGTTAGCATGAGTTGTTTACGGGTTTTTGTAACAGGATAAAATCCATGGAATTAAAACTCTTGCCTGCAGATGTAAATGGATGAAGTAGAAGAAACAGTTCAAGGGCAAATTAGCGCATACATAAGCTAGAGTACTTAAATGACACGCACGAATTTTCTATCCATAACAATTATGCAAGATAGAACCATCGATTTTGTTCATGGAATGGAGTTTCTTAACAATAATTAAATGGATTTAAATAATAATTATGCTCAACATGGCAAAATATGTTATATTTGGGTTCAAAAGAATAAATTAATTTCATACCTTGTTTTGTTGCAAAATTCTACGTTGATATGTGCTTGGAATCGCAATAATAGATATCGATTGTATGGTACAACAAATCGATTATCCAACGCAACACCTTTTTGTATTACAGTCCTGTCATTTTGTCGACGACGATACTGTGCAAAACCATTCTCATCTATCGTTGTTTGACTACAATATTTTTTTGGAAACTTCTTAGAACACTTTCCATCTTTCATGCAAGGCGACTTTGGTGCAACTGGACCACAGGGACCATGTAACATAAAACTTGTTACGGCTTGGTAGCATTCAGGATCTAAATCTGGATCAGGAATCTCCGCTGAGATTATGGAATCAATATCTGAAATCCCATTTGGTTTATCTTCGGGATCCAAAAATACCAAAAGGTGAGCATGGGGGAGACCTCGTTTCTGAAACTCGATCGCAGCAACGTCTGCACTGAAAATATTAAAGAGTTAATGACCAAGGGTGAAATAATAGCATATTTGAAATTTTAAAATAAAATAGTATAGTGACTTACATCCACACGTGCTTCCAAAGATTTTCTTGTCCCTAATTTCAACAATTAATTGATTCAATTTCATCTTGAATACTCTAGCGAAAACATCAGCGCGATTCGGGTCTTTTCGACCTTCTTCTTGTAGCAAGTCAAGCATGAACTGAATCTCTGGCCAATTCGCATTACATGTGAATGTGATAAACAAATCTGGATAACCTATGAATCGACAAATCGCCATTGCATCTTGAAAATTTTCATATTTATACCGTGGACTACCAGTATGCGACGCAGACAGGATGATATGTTTTCCACTCAATTTCAGCTCTGTATCACCTCTCATAAATGCATCCATCAAACCTTGAAAATAATGAGCTCGTAGTTTTGATTGATTGTTGCCAATCCAATCTAGTCTTTCAGCTTCCACCAGAGCATATGCATTCACGACGTACTGTTGAAATAATTTTCCTCCAAATAGTAACGAATTGGACTCACCAACACGTGTCTGGAGTCGATAGCTGTAATAATCACACTGAGAAACTGTGCGGTCTCCTTCACCGTTTGTTTCATCTGGATGATGATACATAAGATCTGAATGCCACCCATCCTCCCCATAAGGAAACAAAATAGGGTATTGCAAAGCCATCAAACTGGGATGGTAAAAGTTGATTTGTTGCATATCCAAACTATGTTGTTGAACAACAATATCGGGCCCAAATGTTTCGTCTCCTGCTTCATCAACAATTAGTGCAGCAATTTCATTAGCCGAAGGTAAATCATACTCTCTTCCCCCACCAGATCTAGTACCAATCAACTTGATCTGAACCTGTTCAATATCCTCTTCATGTATCTTATCTCTTGCAGTACGAAATGTCTTAACTAAAACATTATGCTCATCGAACATGTCTTGCAGTCCCTGAACAATGCGATCACGTAGAGGATTGACTTCTCTATCAAGCTTGTAGAAATCAAGTCGATTTTGTACCTCATTTGCTGTGTCATGAATATACAACTGAGCGAACTTCGGTGGCATACCTTCAGCCGGCACCAAACTTCCGATACGATGGTAGATTTGACCACCAATTGAGTAGACATACACACCAGGACCATGATTTATCGATGTATCCACCTTACCACCAAGAGATATAAAAGTAAAGACACCGTTGTATCCACGGATGAACTCACGAAAATGACGGGCAATTGGCGTTTGTCCTTCAAGTAGCTCCTTCAAGAATTCTGGTGGGTCTCGCCGAGGTGGTAGTCTGACCTTGCCTTGTTTACAACAAAGTGAGAAAATGGGAGTTTGAAGCTTTCGCGACGTCGCAACACTTTCCAACCACCATAGCTTAGCACGACAAAATGGACAAATGTAACATGGCTCTCCGACGGAAAAAACTTCAACATCGGGAAAAACTACATATAAAGAAAAAATACAGAAAAGGGTACTTAGTAAGAGGTCCATCACAATAGACACATTCTAATTAGCAAAGGCAAACTTCAATGCGATGTCCATACCGAGACACAAATATTTGTTGGGTAGATGAGCCATTTTACTACTTACCCGATTGGTTTTGGTTCTGAAATGACGTCTGCCCTTTTCGTTTTTTATGTAAGTAAATCCTACGTGCTAATCTATTACGGGCAGCACTAAGTGATGAAAATTGAGCCTCCAATTGTTGAACTGAAATCAGCAAAAACCAAATTTAAATTAACATTACATAAACGCCTTCCAAGTTAAATTGGTTGGAAAGACATAATCCAAACTTATTTAAACAAAGAAACAAATGGGTACACCATATACCATTGTGTGGTCTACAATGACGTTCCTTATTGGCGATGAGAGCACGTCGTCTCTGTCGTGCAAGTTTAGGCAATTCAGCAGTAATTCTAGATAGTTCAGTCTTCAAAGTTTGCAATTCTGCCAAAAAATATCGATCATATACCCAATAAGATAGAATGTATTAACTCATAGAAGCAATCCATCGAGAAAACCATCAATCTAGGCAGAATGTTTCCCCCTATACAATAACTGTGTTTGAAGGTTGATCGTACAAAAATAACAATACATTTTAATATGTAGTACATTACCTCTGTCTAAGACCTCAGCGTCTTTTTGAACTGACGCAACAGCATTAGTTACATGAGTAGATTGGAAGAAAATAGCACGACGTTTCCCTAGATCATGACAACAAACAATTCAATGACACCAAGTTATACTTTAGTTAATATTTATAAGCAACTTTGGTTTGAATACAAATGCCGAAGTTTGGTATTCAAACTCACAGGGCACACTGGATCTCATGTTACTAACACCGAGTTGGGAAATTGATGAGTCCCCCTCTTCACTTTCGCGGGTATCCATATTTCGTATTCACCAGGATACACAACAGATGGAAATGGCGTGTTCAGTTGTTGTGATGATATAAGAAGTATGAGAAGCTACACCAAGTCCTAAGAAGCATTAGAATGGTGGAGAATTAGACATAAAGTGAGGGGTTTAGGGTAATCGCAAACAACATACATGAATGAGTGAAAGGTGATACACGTAAATCCTAATCTTCATATTTTGCACGAAATCTGAAATAGACCAAAGTTAAGAATACTCATTTGTAAATTTTATGTGATATAAACACTCTATATGAGAATTTGGTAAAGGCTTAACATCAAAGGTAAACTTATATAGGGTTGTGCCCAAATTCTAGAAATCAAATGCTCTTGTGATATACAGCAAAGGAAAGGCGTAATAACATATGCTTGAATACAGATTTCAACAACTACTAACATAATTCCGTTGTACTTTGTAAGAACACCGACAGATTGAAATGGTTTGGGAAGGAGTATCCATGTTGAGCTTCGGTTGCAAAAAGTACAGCTTCAGTAAAGGAATCGAAATTTGGGTAGACGACGGTCAGATGCAACCAAACTTGAATGAACGCTTGCTGAAATAGAAAAATAATATTAAGAAAATAATATATAGGCATGATCATCCTAGAAAACAAATCGAATAAGGCAAATTAGACTTCCAAAGTCGAAATGGAAAAAGTATGCTAGCCATAACCAAGCTATGCAATGGCATTTTCGGTATGCACTTGGTCCTTTGAGCAAAACTCATACGATGAACACAAAATAAGAATACACTTTAACTTGCAAACACCCCTTTAACTAATAGACATACCAACTCGATATAAGAACAATTGAAGATTGGCAAAAGGCAATCAGAGGAGTCTTCCATTACAAACAACACAGTAAAGGAAATCCTAAAGATGGGATAAGCAATCTCCAGATTCAATGTCTGGCATTCTAACAGGAAGCACGATTATTCAATGACAACTGACACTTTTGAAGCAAAGTACCCAGGTAAAAGGAAGGAACTTTATCATCATACGAAGAAACAAAAAAGTACCCAGGTAAAAGGAAGCAAGTTAAGATAAGAAGGAGGTGGAGAGAGAAAGAGAGGAAGAAAGAGAATAATACCATCGGATGGATCTGTGGCAGCAGAGGTGCAACCCAGAATGCAGAAGAATATCAGTACTGGAAACAACACAATCAGCTGCTCAACCCTTCCGACTCTAAGATTCCCATCTTTACCAAACAAAATAATTAGAAATACAAATCCCATAGCAGTTCTATCTAACACAGTGAAAGGTAGGGGATACATACTGCAAAACGAACAACCAACTTTCACATCCAAAAGAGAGAAGCTAAGAAAACAAAGTTAATACAACCATCATTAACTCAACTGAAAACAGTCCGTTATAGCAATGAATCACAGAACATTCACCCGATTTCATTATGAACAATCCCAGGTCGTTATGACTCTATTATGCGGACTATATACACACAGGCAATCAAACCCATACCATGTCTCCACGCTAAGAAGCAGTAAACCATGCACATATAACCAAACCAAATTACATATAAACTATGATAGATAAGATTAGAAAGCAACGAAACTGAGGTTTAGAGTTTTCTTTTACACCTGAGGGTGCTAGGTTGGAATGTCCTTTTCGGAAACAACATCATTTCATCAGACGAATCGGCTGTATGTACAGTGAGAAGCAAACAAATCATGCAGGGATCAAAACTGTAAACACAGAGACCCGTTGCTTCTACATCATTGACCACATAAAAAAAATTATATATCATCGCCGACCCTACTTGAATCCGATCACAGGGAATCACATCCTAAAGCAAAAGGCTACTACAACAAACCCACAGGCCACGGGCAAAGGTTTGCTACACTCAAGCCCAGGATAGTTTACTCAATGGGATGGGGGATTATAACTTATAAGAACAATGTAGATGAACACAGCCTCAGCTGATAAAAGCAGAGACTGCTCTGTAGATAAACTATCTTCTCTCATCTGGTGCCAGTGAACTGATAGTATGAAAAAATAACAAAAGAGAATAAAACTCCACTAAATGCTCCCAAACAGGTAATAAACTGATCCAATTTCCCTTCCTTTGACCATTCTTCATTTCACCACTGGCGACTAAATTGGAAGGATGTAACTCTCCCCCACAAGCTTTGACAATACTGAATTTGTTGGATCAACTTGTAATTGACATTGTTCAACACGTTTGTAGTGAATAAAAGCTGAATACAGGTTCAGGTGAAGTGACTTTGCAACACAGCCAACGAATTGGACTTTGCAACACAGCCAGCGACGGATAGCAAGGGAGGCAGCCGGTACAAACCATAATGGCATAGACCCAGGCCAATTCCAACCCCAATATCCAACCTGTTCATGAGATTGGGGAACCCTAAGCCCGACCAGACAACAAAGACACAGGGGTATGCCTTAACACGAAGAAGCATCGACAAAAACAAACTGGAAATCGTGCACAACCAAAGCCCCCATAGACGATTATCAGCCAAATATGAAATTGAGGTTTTGACTTCAATTTTATTAGAATACAGATACAATCCGAGAAGAATACCAAGATAAAGAGTTTTCGGCATTACCCTAAAATGGTTCCGCCGTGTTCGCCATTGCTGCGGGAGGGAGATTTTAAATGGGGATTGAGATCGTGTTCGCCAGATCGCGGTAGTCTTCGCCAAGGTTGGAACAGGGAAAGGAAACTGAAGAGACCCACCCACCAAATCGCGGTCTTCTTCTCCGAATCGCTTACAGATCGTGGTCTTCTTCTCCAAGGTTGGAAGAGGGAAAGGAAGAGGGAAAGGAAACTGAAGAGTTCTCTGTCTTCCTTCGTATGCGAATCTGCAGAGAGACAAAAGGGAAACGCGTAATGTTGGCCGGCTGGGAAAAGAGATGGTTCAATTACTAAATTACCCCCACCGAAAATGAAGGGGAGAGCAGGGAATTTGAATCCCTGAAAAATTGACAAAAGTGTGCAATATATTAATGGTGGATTATATGGAATTAGGCTAATGCGTATTGCGTAATGTTTTTCATTTTTGGTAAATAAGTAGAGTATTATTTACTCGACCATTGGAGGTGTTTAAAGTTTTAACTTTTAACTCTTAAGAAACTATTGAGTGTTTTAAACTAGTGGCGGACCCAGTACTGTTGGAGAGGTGTGTCGTCGATAAAATAAAATAAAAATTAAATTAAATAAAATAAAAAATTAAGTAGAAATTTAAAAAAATAATTGATAAAGTTCACAATGTCATGTTTCTAACGAATCACGATGACTTTTCATCTGCTGAAATGTCTCTAAAATACATTAATCACTTATACTGCAAAGAAAATCTTTTTCAATATACACAACTAAACAATCATTCATAAATTGGTCACTCAACCGATTTCGAAGATCATTCTTGATTATCTTCATAGCTAAAAATGTTCTTTCGCAGCTTGTCGTTGCAACAGGTAATGATGGGGAGTTAGTGGCAGCCTATGCTATTGGCCATTAGGCCTGTGGGTTTTTTTTTTCCTCTTTTAATTGTAGGCCGAGGCCCAACACACATCACAATTGTATATTGTATGGGCTGAGAGTTTGTTTTTTTAATAGGAATTAATAGAATTATGATTTATGAGTTATTTTAAATAAAATTAAAAAAGATTATGATTAAGATTGATTTATTCGGATAATAAATTCTTCGAGTATAATGAAGGTGTGTCGGCTATAATTATTGAAGGTGTGTCGGCTATCTCGAAATAAAAAAATTTATACCAAAAATTTTCTCGAGCGAGGGTGTGTCGGACGACACACCCTCCCTTGCCTTAGGTCCGCCACTGTTTCAAACTATATTGGGGAAAGTTCAATCCTTGAAGCGGAGTCGTAGGTGATTCGAGATGGACTGTCTTTAGCATGGATCTTTGGCACCGATAATTAGAAGTGGACTCGAATTCACAACTAGATATTATTTTGATCGTAAGGGTAGATAACATATTTTACATCGTACTCTTGTTGAGCTCATATTGAATTGCATGTGCCTCATACGTCAATCACGACAATACAAGTTATCAGACACCAATGATGAGCCCTAACTTGGGTCTCGATGATCGGAATTCACGCAACTTTCACGCAACTTCCAATTCAAGGCTCGAGTTGAGTCTTGGACACAAAACAGGGTAGGGTTTTAGGCGATGGAACTTTCGTGCAATCTTTCACAAGGAAGAAGGCTCGAGAAGTATGGAAAGAAGCTAGGCCATGATCAAAAGCAACTTAGAATCAACTAAGCAACTCGAACGAATTCACAAAGCTACAAGCTTAATGAACCAAAACTCAAGGTTTGTATTCAACAACGTAATCTACCTTACAATGCAATCGAAAAGGCTTTAAATAGAACTAGCTAGGCTATCCAACTACAAAAGAGGTCCTAAGTACAATGGAACTCAGAAATTGAACAAGACAGAATTTCTTGTGGTGCAAGACAGAATTTGAGGCTTCATACGATCTTGCACACGTTCATTCGAAGCTTTAAAGGTATGCCCTTAATCATCCAATTCTTTTAGGTTGCTCAGAAAATATTGTACTTCCATGTAACAATTCCCTTTTGCTTCGACTCTTCCTCCTCCAGATCAAGTAAGCTCTCAAAATAGGGTACCCGAACACGACTCCATACTTGGCCAGATTTGGGCAGTTTCTCTGTGACTCCATAGCAACTTGCACGATCTTGTTAATGACCTTAGGGATTTGTCCTTTGGCCAACAAACCTTGTACCCCGTAGATGAACTCTTGTACTTCAATGGATAACTGTCCATTGCATTATCACTTATCTAATTGCGAGATATGAATTCCCAAAGTAGGCACCATGACACAAGCTTGACACTTAGCCAAATTATGCCTCTTTTCTTGCCAACTTGGATAGCTTCTTTGGCAAGTAATAAAAACTCATGGACTTGACTACTTGGGATCATATCAACCAAAAGGGAAGGGAATAAACTTGCTGACAACTGGCTAGCTTGGGCCACTCTCGGATCCAGTGAGAGGTTTTGTACCCTTTTGTATAGGGATGACAAAAATATCCGTAACCGTGGATATCCGCCCGAATCCGACCTAATCCGGTAGGGTAAAACCCAAACTCGAAAGACTTTTAGTGGGTACGGGTAAAACCCGAACCCGAATATTGCAGGTAATGGGTGGGCATGGTTTTCTCACTATCCAACCCGAACCCGCCCGATTATACACATGCATATGTATTTTGTCTATAAATAATCAATATTTTTCTCTAACATATTTTATATTTTGCATATAAATATAATTTTCTTATGAAATTGTGTTGTTTTAATTAATTTTCTTCATTCTTGTGAATTATTGTAGTACTTTTCGTCTTACGTAACGTGAGAATACGTGTAAATATTAACATATTGATTGGAGTTATAAAGAAAAACTATTACCCATGGATAACCATGGATACCCGAACGGGTATGGGCATGATTTGAATTGTCTACCCGTTTCTTATGTGGGTATGGGCATGGGTATAACCCGAACTAATTTAGGTATGGTAACAGATATGCACTATCCGTCCCCGACCCGACCCATTGCCATCCCTACTTTTGTATTGTTGTTGTATCGCGCATTGGAAGCGGGTATGACGGGAGTCCATTTCATAAGGGATATGGACTAGACTGATACATGATATGTCATTTTGATCTTTTATATTTCCAAATGTACAAAAATGAGTTATATTTTGACTAAATTACATGTTTGGTCATTCGCTTTACTATTATTTTTTTATGGTCGTCGCCCAAAAAGTTTAATTTCTTATTAGTCACTCATAAGGGTGGCAACGGGTCGGATTAGGGGATGAATAGTGACTATCCATTACCTATCCCTAGCTCGTTCAGGTTTTTATGATACATATACCCTTGTAAGATTCGGTTAGAATTTTAAAAAATTAAAACCATACACATACCTTATCAGAGTTTTTTTATGAGTACCCTATCAGTTTTTGGGTATCCATGGATAAAATTTTTCTTTTATCTTCTATTGTATTTTGTTACTAATAAAAATATATTAATAGTTTCTTTTACTTTCTCTTGAGGTGGGTTAACGCCTCTCTTTCCCTTTTCCCTCATTACACCTTCGTATTACTCTCTTTTGAATCTCTTATGGGGCTAAAGCTTCTTCCAAGAAGATGGCATGCAATACTATTTTTTCAACACCAGACTAGGAATGCAAGCTGTGTTCCTTCTTGATAAGGGCACATCTCAACTTCCTATTGTGGGTTGATATCCTCAGGTTTCCCAATGCCAGCGCTAGCAAGATGCCATGTGTTTCACACACTATTGCATTCATCTGTCATAAAACTTGGATAACGACTCCCCTTACCTTGCTGCCAGTTGATGAGGGCTTGCAATGTGAGTTCGGCCACCTCTGCATGTAAAACTTGGAGGAAAACAACACGACGAACTGCTCTAACGTCTCAATGACGCCCTCCCAGAGTGATGTATACCATATTCGGCACTGACCTCTGAATGTGACTGGGAATGCTTTGCAAAGATCGGCATGTCAGGAATTGATGAGCTGCATCTTCAGTACGAAAGCACTCAAGTGATCTGAGGGGTCGATGGTGCCATTTTAGGCCGGAAGGCCGAGAGACGAAAAGTTTGGGGTTTTAAACAGGCTTCATGATAGTGGGTCATGTAGCACGTGGGGATCTTGCTTCCCTCGTGCAAAGGTCCCAGGAGCATTTTTAAGATATGGATCGGCCTTCCTCCTTTTTGTCCTTGTAATGATCAGAGATTCCAAAGACAATCAAAGCTTTCCCCTTTGCTCATATGACTTTATCTCTGGTTTGTGATCCTTCAGCCTAACCTCCATCTCCCTTGTGTCCCTTGAAAAGCGCTAGAATTTTGTAGATGTTGTTATGCTTGCTCGATAGCGGCTTGTTATTGTTTTTTTATTGGTCTTTGAGATCCATGTCGTCCTCTACTAGAGGTGTAATGCTATCGATCAGTCCTCTCTTAGTTATTTCTTTTAGTATCCTTTTAAGAGGGTTCCGAAAGTATCTTCTATGGAAGTGATTTAGAATGATTTGTGCGCCCACGGTGAACGCCAAATTGTTTAGGCTTACACTATTGTTGGGGTTCAACAAGTGATTATGGGCTCACGCTCGTGATGCGTCTTTCACCTTATGGGGTTGGATGTTCCAAGAACCTGCATAAAGGACCACATATGCTTCACGCCAGGTACACCCTCCGATGATCTAGTCAGAAAGAGACTATTTATAGAATGTTTAGAGAGAGTGATTTGGTTCAAGTTACCATAAATGAGGACTGAATGACTATTTATATAATTTGATGGTGATTGAGAGCATTTAATGCTATGTCGGGTAACTCGATGATTCCGCCAAAGGGGAGCTTGGGCTCTCGCTGAAGCCTTAAATGTTATCACCGGGGTCATCACACTATCTATAATGGATATGTGGTTCCCCCAAGGTGTTGATTGTCCCGATGCATTCTTAAATGTGCAGATGATTGCCTCAATGTGGTCTAGTTGACATGTGGGCGCCCCATGGCCTTTGTGAAGATCTCCGTTCGAATGGAGTGTGACTTCTTGGGCCTGAAGTACTTTCTTGACCGTGATGGGCCATATCCTTAGTTATCGGGCTTTTATTATTTTGCGACCTGGTTGTTGGGGGCCTTTAGTCCAACAGATACCATATCTTGTACTCATCTTATTTCCTAAATAGGCAAGTAGTACATATAGGTGCTTTGAAAAACAATCGGTTGTCTTGCTGCACGCCTGCACAAGTCTATGTCATGAAGTTCTTCAAATCCTTGCATCAACATTTGAGAAATCGGTTGGTACCATCAAAATTTCATCACAAACCTATCTGATAGGTATCAATCGATGATGTTCCAATAAATGAGGGACACCTCGCAACTTGTGCATCTCGGTCACAACCATAGGATACATGTTTCATTCCACCTATAATAACAATGATGTTTAATTAGTTTACGAATTTCCATGAAAATTCACAAGTCTATATCATATTATGATCTTTAAATTGTGTAACCAGATACTATCTAACTAGTTGCGGTAATGCCACTATTCATTTGTGTTGGCTCCAATCCACCGTAGAAATAAAATTAACTTTTTGTCAAGATGCATGTAAGGAAGATATCAAGATCACAACTTATTACTTAAAAAAAACAAAAAAATATATACTCACAAACTTGAAAAGAAAACACACAATAAAGTAGCTTGTCGTAGTGGTTCGTTAGGTTCCCAATCTAACCTTGGGCAACGCAGGAAAATGCTATCATGCCCTAAGTTGAAGGATGAACATGGGAGCATAAATTTGCTTAATATCATTATCTGTACAGTTACACAACTTTGAATAAACCAACACCAAGTATGTCAACCCCAAAGTTTTTCTCCATCACATCCTAGTCGCCTAAGAGTGACGAGTCTTATTCGTCTTTTTGGGAAACAACACTCCACCAACAAGTCAATCAGGTTATCATTCCACCTCTTGGTTATTGGCATTAGCACCCAACCAAGGAAGATGTCTGACTTGCTAAGGGATCCAAAAATGTCCCTTGTTCTGTGGCGGTTGGTGTTGTTTCGACTCTCTTATCGGCGGTATCTCGATAAGCCATGTTTTTTTCTCTTCTACATATTGTGATTGGTTGTTTATGTTGGTGTAATAAATATTTATAATTTTAATGCAAAATAATTGATTTAATGGCAATCAACGATCACATTGCAACTGTCATATTTTAACGACCATAAATAAATGCCATATTTCAACGACCATATTGTTTATATATTCAAGCACTCTTCATGGATTTCTCTTCACTCAATCTCATAGCTTAAATCGCATTATCTCAAAATCATATTTTTATCATCTCTAAAACAGGGACAATGGTAGGCAAGAGAGGAGCTAATTGGTGACCGAACGAAGATGAAATCTTGTTCAGAGTTTGGGTGTCGATATTAGAAGATGGAGTGGTTGGCACCAACAAAAAGTCTGCAAGGTTGTGGGAAAGAGTGGCGATAGAACATCAAAGATGGGATCCTGCTACAACTCGTACTGTTTTTTCAGTGGACTATCGAATGAGGACTATCACCTATCACTCCAATGCTTGGAAGGGAGTTTTAAAAGCATAGAAGAATCAATCGAGTGGCACGAACCAATATGATGTTGTATTTTTTTTTTTTTTTTGGAACCTTCACTTGTTATTTTATTATTTTATGTACTTTGACTTCTCTAACTCATGTGTTAGTAATTTTAATATGAAAAGGATGCAAGATCAATATATAAGCAAGATAATGGGAACAAAGCCTTTGCTCATGAGCATTGTTTTGACATTATTTGAAATTGCCCAAAATGGTACTGCAATCCTCAACTAGATGTTAGTTCCATTCCACCTAAGGGACAATTCTCTCATAGGTATTGGTTCTCAATCCTTTCCCATGGAATGCCTTAACGACTTACAAGATGAAGGAGATACGCATTTCGTGTTGTCTCGCCTAAACGACGTGAAAGCAAAAGGTAGCAAAGAAGAAAGGTAAGATATTTGCCGAATCGTCAAGCATGTATACTACTCAAATACTAGAGTTTGGTAATGATATGAGAGAGAGGCAAAAGTCGAGGATAGATTACGAAAACAAAAAAAATGATTGTTAAAGAGATGAGACTAGAGCGTGAGAAAGAGGAGTGGGCGTACAAGAGGCAAGTGAGGGAACGCGAAGTAGAAAAGTGGGCTATTGAGAAGAAAGAGAGGGAAGCGGCAATACTTAGTCAAAATATGACTATTTTGGACAAGGATTTATCAAGACTGGCACCGAGAAAGAAGAGATTTTGGAGAAGTAAACTAAATGACATATTGGGGTATGATCAAGATTATCCCAACTCTAATCCAAGTGATGGCAGAGATGGAGATGAAAGTGGTGGAGGAGATGGAGATGAAATTGTTGAGGTGATTATTTTTTGTCTTGGATTATAATTAGAAGAAGGTCTTATGTGTACTCTATTGTCTAAACTGTTTAGTATGTTGTGTGCTGTCTTTTAACTTTGTTGTTTTCATGTACTATGTGTACTCTTTGAACTTTGACGAGGGGCGGAGCTACAAGGTTGGAAGGGGGTTCCATGGCACCCCTTGATTTAGGAAAGCACTGCAAAATTTAGTAGTATAAATATACACATGATGAAATTTTAACCCCAAATCTCAATGTTAATTGTTAAATTGTGATAATCCAATCACAATTGATTATATAATTAATTCTACGTACTAATTTTTATATTAATATAGTCTAGTCGCCGCAAATTATTAGAGGAAATCATTAAACTTTTTATGATAACGATAATTTGAAGAGGAAATTTGTTCCCATCAATGTATTTGCTTGTGAAACTTGATTTGGTTCGCTACTACTTTCTGTCAATATACATGTTGATATTATCAACAAAAAAATACATATCGGTATAAAGTTTTCTGCAATGAATGAGTGAATAGCCTTTGACTTGACTCAAAAGAATTTGTGAATGATTATTTGTGAAAAGAATTATGTAGTTTTAGAATATTTTCATTATATCAAACATGACTACATGAGATCGTATCATGGGTTATTGCTCAAAAATTATTTTAATGCACCTCTTTGAGTCAATTTCTGGTTACGCCAATGACTTTGACCATTTTCATGTGTAATAAAACTAGTGTTGTTGAAACTTTGAACTAACTACAAGACACACTTTATTGAAACATGAAGTACAATCACATACCAAAACTTGGAATTACAAATTACCAAGCAACATAAAATAATATTTAATATTGAAACATGCAATACAATCTACAATTAGACAATAATAGTTATTGCCATGCAAATTCCAAAGATACTCAACCAATTCATTTAAAAGCGCATGACGTGTTATTGAGGAGCGAATCCTATTATTTCTAGCCAAGTAATTAACCAAAGTTGGAATGTGTCGGTTGATTGATTGAGGTTGTTCATGGATCTCATAATCAAGTTCATCATAAATCTCATCGTCAGAATAAACTTGCTCAACCTCGATTAGCATGTTGTGTAATATAATGCACATCAACATTATATTATTAAGTGTAACAATATCCCAAGCTCTTGCAATGCCACAAATAATTGTCATCTGGTTTGGAGAATTCCAAATGCCCGCTCTATGTTTTTGTGGTGTGCTCTTTGAAGTTGAGCAAACAAAGCCTCTTTGTTTGACTTTGGATTGCTGAAGGTCTTCACTAAAGTCGTCTCATAAGGGATAAATATCGCCAGCCAAATAATAATATTGATCGTAAGCATGATAATTTTCGTCAAGTCGTACACGTGGAGCGCTTCCATTGACGATACGATCAAATACTGGAGACATCTCCAGAACATTTATATCATTGTTCGTCTAGGAGATCTAAAGAAGCATGTCATATCCATGTGCTATAGGAGGTCACCGCCTCCATAACGATTGTTGGCCTATATATGTGTATGGCAGTGTATTGTCCTGTTCAACAATTTGGACAATTCCTCTATTCTCAATGCATGCAGTCAATTGATCAAATCATTCCAGGAAAGCCACAACTTGAGGCTTTACAGAGTAAGATCCTTAAATCAACACGAGTAGGTGCGCAAAGGTATGTGGCCCCGTATATGTTGATAATGTTGTTGCAAAACTTTTTAAAGACGTCCATTAAGATTCTCTCACCCATACGAACATACTCATCAAGTCGATCAGCTGGGGAATCATATGCTAGCATGCACATCGCACTAGTAAGCTTCACCGAGACCCTTACGCCTTAGAACAAATGAGGGGTCAAACCTCACAATGTCACCCATAATGCGACGGAATGATCTTGATTGTATCTGATAGCGCCTTATGAATATGCGAGCATTGGATATTGGATTTGGATCGAAGTAATCCCTCATAAGACGTCGATTACATTCGACTCTTTCACGATCAATGTGAGTTCGACTTGTAGTTTATGCTGACTTGATGAACCTTCAGTCAGCTTCCGGCCAATTAAACTCAAACGTAAGTGGTGAAACCTTTCGTGCTCTTCGATTTCTTCGTCGCCTACAGACGATGAACTTTCTGGGATACTCATGATGAATGAGGTTGTTTTATAAATGGTAAGAAGTTTCAGATGAATTGATGAAAAATGAAGAACTGTCATTAATAAAGACATATAATGCATAAAATGACACACAAAAAACCAATGTTGTCAGAACCGAACCGGAGCATGACCCGGTAATGCGAACGGCTCGCACTTGGGCGGTCCAACCGGCATTAGACCGTTTAAAAACCGTTAGAGAACCGGTATCTAATAAACGTTATCAGTATAAATAGTGGACATTTCTTAATCAGAGCTCATCTCTTTCCTTCGAAATTGTGAAATGGAAATAAGGATTCAATTTGAGAGCCCGACGTTTTTGGTTTATTTCAATTTTCAATTTTCTACAATTTTTTTAATTAAATTTAATGGCTGGATGGCAAAAACCGGACGAGCGGCTCGATCGGCTCGAACGGATAACCGCCTCGGCCGCTCGCCAACCGCTACATAAAACCAGAGCGGCTTTTAGACTGTTCTGAGCCGGTTTTGTGACCGGGTGGCGGTTTTACCGGTTGGGCCGAGCGGCTCGGTTCGGCTTTAATAACCCTGCAAAAAACGGTCGTCAAGTAACGACTACAAACAAAAGGTCATATTTGGAGTGGTTACGAAGTTATCGATAACAAATTACCGACTAATTTCCTGAAACTTTTTATTTGAATTAAAAAAAATGTTTTCTAAATTAATAAGGAACTATAATAAAAGTGGAAATGAGATTTGAGAATTTAAAAAGCCCCATATTTAAAAAGTTGGGAAACTATATATCACTGTGAGGATTGGAGTTAGTCCCAGTTTTTTGGTTGCGAGGGAGTGCGGATCCGGGGACTAAGGGGGGTGCTTAGTCACTTGACTAAGCCCTTCCCAGCCCTTAGATCTGGACACATCAATCTGATGGTTAAAAAGTGGGAAGGGCTATTTAATTAATGATAGGGGTAGTTTGGGTATTATGGAAAATTACGAAGTATACAAACCGGACTTACAATCAGTACAAACCATACAAACATACGAACAGTACAAACTAGAGCGACAAAACATACAAACAGATTTACAAACATATGAACTGTACAAAAAATACAAACTAGACCGACAAACAATACAAACCATACAAAAAGAAAAAACAACCAGGTTGACTTTAGAGGCTTCATCCCTATATAGAGGGGCTCCTTCCCAAAGTCAACTCGAGTGTTTTTTAGACATACAAGCAGTACGAACATGGTGGACAAAAATGACAAACTAGACCGACAATTCATACGAACTGAAAAAACACCCGGGTTGACTTTGGAGGCTCCATCCCTATATAGAGAAGTTCCATCCAAAAGTCAACTAGGTTGTTTTTTAGACATAAAAAAACATTACAAACATGGTTGACAAAAATGATAAACATGGTGCACAAAAATAACAAAGCGTACAAACATTACAAAATATGTCAACAACATCACAAAACACTGTCGCCGGAAAGTTCTTCTCCATCGACGATGATCGCCGGGAAAAAAATTTTCCGACCAGAAAATCTCTCTCTGCCACACCAAAAATGGTGGCCATGGGGCAAAATAAAAAAGCCGCCGGCGGGAGTTCTCTCTCTGCCACATCAAAAATGGTGGTCTGATACTAAAAAATGGTGGCCATGGGGCAAAATAAGAAAGCCGCCGGCGAGAGTTTTCCCAAAATCAGACCGGCAACGGGAGGGGCAGGGGCGGGTGATTTTTATTCTTTTAATTATTAAATAAATAAATTATGTAATTACCACCTTACCCTTCATTAAAATAGATTAATTTGAATCATTAGATTTTAATGAAACTCAATAACTGAGATTCACTTAACCATGTGACTAAGGGACCCCCAGCCGGTTGCGAGTTGCGGTTAGCATAAGAGGATAACCAGAGTCACTTACCTGATCATTTCCCCTCTTCCAGACTCCAGTCTTCCTCCCTTTTTTTTTTTGGCAAAATACACTTGTATAGCCATAACTTTCACGTTTGTGACAAATATAGCCATAATTATTCGAAAACCAAAAATAGCCAATTCCGTCCATCTCTTTAACGGTGTTACTTAACACTCTGACTAGACTGACGGAAATGCTTACCTGGCGATACTTTGTCGGACACGTGGATTATAAAAAAAGGACATAAATTCAATTTTTCCGAGTTCATAAAATGAAAAATAAAAATAAAATTTTTTTATACAAAAAACTTCATCTTCCTCCCTGTACCTCCCCCACCATTGTTCGCCGTCGTCAACATCATCTTCATCCCTCCTTTCCCCCTACGATTCCCACCAGCGACGCCATCAAACCACCACCCACCCGTAGCCGTGAACAACCGCTATCCGACTCCAAATCCTCCATCGACCTACCGACTCCAAATCCTCCATCCCCACTGCTCCCTCTTGCAGCTGATATTGCTTCCTCGAGATTCGCCCAATCAGTTCATCGATGGAGGATGGGTTCGGTGGTGAGAAACGAAAGGGATTTCTTCAAACCATGAAGAAGAACCCGATCTGGAACTGCGCCGAAATCGCAGTGATTGCCGCCATGAAATTCAACATCTGCAGGTGAGTGAATCCAACGATCTGGTTTCCAGATCTAGTTTCTGAGCAACTCCATGAGCCCAAGTCCCTCCACGCGTAGTCTCAACTGACCGACAAGGAAAATCCCCAGATTCCCAAATCAAGCCCGACTCTGGCTATTGGCGATCTGTTGGGCACGGTTCGGATTGGAAACGTCGCCGCGGGGAGATGGCGAATTGGGATTTCAGACTGGTCGTCGTTGCTTTGTCTGGGGAGAGTAGGAGGAGGATAAGAAGGCGAGCCAGTACGAGGAGTTGAAGGCGGAGAGAACTGCGGCGAAGGAACTGCAGGGCCTGGCTGTGCGGTAGGATCGGTGAGGCAGATCTGAATCGGAGACATAGGCTCTCCCACCGTGGCGTAGTACTCGATCCTGGTGGCGTCGGCGTCCATCGGAGAAAGAGCGAGAATCGAAGCCGACAGCAGCCCGATGCCCACATCAACTATGCGATTCTTCTGCTTGGGAACAGAGTTCAAAGAGGGGTTGCTATTGGCATTTCTGTCGAATTGAGGTTGCGAAGAGGAGAAGCAAGAAAACGAGCAAGTGGGTTTTGAAATGGAGGGAAGGGCTTGAGCGCGGAAGAGGGATTTGGGGCTTGCGATGGCGGCGGAAGCAGAGAGCACCATTTTTTAGTTTGAGATTTTTGTTGCAGGGAAGGGGATTTGATGAGGCGGTGGTGGATATTGAAGAACAGATGGGGAAGACGAAGGAGAGGAGAGAGGAAGAGGAGACTGGATATTGAAAAGGAAAAAATTAATAAATATTTTTATGTTTTTAAATTAGTTATTAATTGATTAACTAATTTATTTTTGAATTAAAATATGACATGGCACTTAGGTGGCAAGTGTGGTTGAGTTGTCGCTGACGTGTGCGATGATTTGGCATCCTAGTCAGCCTAACGTTAATTTAACTGACGGAGTTTCTAACACCGTTAAAGTTTCTAACGGAAATGGCTAGATTTGTCACATGACCATCCAATTTCTTGGCTATTTGTGGTTTTCGAATAGAAATGGCTATATTTGTCAAAAGCGTGAAAGTTATGGCTATACAAGTGTATTTTGCCTTTTTTTTTTATTGTCCCCACTTCTTTCTCTTCCGTCTTTTATTTCATTTTCAATTATTTCGTGTTTTTCGCCTCCCCGTCTCGGAACCCTAAGCTGAAAAAAATCATCAGCACCAGAGAAGAAAGAGAGCAACGACATCCACGAAGACGAAATTTTATCAGGAAACAAACACCAGCAACGCCTTCCCAGCGATTTTACTTCTTCTTCTAGTTCACTCTCGATTTCTGGGTCTTTGCTGGGTAAGAAATGCAGCACCATCAGCAAAGGTTGATGCACCAAGCTCTCCTCCAGCAACAGTCTCTTTACCATCCGGGCCTCCGTGCTCCACCTCAGGTTTCCTTCCCCCTTCCCCGCCTATTTCGATTACTCTAGGGTTTCGATCGCCTGCTGCGATTATTTTTGTCTCCGCGGTGATTGCGTTGAACGTGTGATAGTGACATGGCAATAGCGATTCTGGGGTTAGTTCAATTTGTTGTTGGGGAAAGCTGGAATGTTTTGTGAAGGATTTTCTTGTGTTGATCGAGGCTTGTTAAGCTCGGCTAGAGTCTGGTAGGATAGTGTTCAGTCTGATTGTTTACCCGTTAAAGTTCTTTTTGTGCTTGTTTTGGTTAAGCGTGATCAGGATCTAGAGGTCAGCTGAGATTGGTGTTAAAAAAACTGGAAATTACTGCTCTCAGCTGTCTCTGAGAGTGACCCCTTTTGTTTGTTACTATGTTTAGCACTGGGTAGGATTCATTTGTTGATAGCTTTACTGCTTTGCTGCTTACTCAATCGTGGATCTTTAGCGTTTCTGTATGGCCTGTAGTTTAATTTTCTGTTCATTCTACGGTGGTACCTCTGTGGGTTTTAACCTTTCATGTTGCCATGATATGGGCTGTATGCATTGAAGACTTCTCCTTTTTGTTCCCCACTACTTTGTTTTAAACCTTTTCATTTTCTTTGCAGATTGAGCCGATTCCCAGCGGAAATCTGCCTCCTGGTTTTGATCCAAGCACTTGCCGCAGTGTGTGAGTATCTGTATAGTATTTCTCTTACCATGAAAATTTCATGTTGTTTCTAGAGGCATAGTGATTTCTTTTCCACTGAGTGATGTTGTTCAAGTAGTTGGTGTATTTCCGAACTTCCCTGCTTTGTGATAGATGACGAAGCCTCCTTATAAGTTTACTTATATCTCTTTTTTCTTTTCTTTTCTTTTCTTTTCTTTTTTTTTTCTTTTTAAATTCTAGTTTCTGTATTCTTGTAAAAATTACAGGTATGTGGGAAACATCCATAATCAGGTCACTGAACCACTTCTCCAGGAGGTTTTTGCTAGTACTGGCCCTGTGGAGGGTTGCAAGCTTGTTAGAAAGGAGAAGGTATATTCTCCACTTTAATTTTGATAACCTCATGTTGTATTTAGATTACTTTTGAGATCTGCTCAATTATTCCAGTCCCTGATACTCACCTTTTTTTTGTATTTTGTGCTACCAGTCCTCTTATGGATTTGTACATTACTTTGATCGCCGATCAGCTGCTATTGCAATAGTATCTCTTAATGGGAGACACTTGTAAGTGCATATCACTTTGGTGCTGGCCTGTTCCTCTGCCATTCTTTTGAATCTGCCTTATTTTGGTGATATTCATGGGATGTCCTATTGTTGATGGGGATTTCAGATTTGGCCAACCTATCAAAGTTAACTGGGCCTATGCTAGTAGTCAGAGAGAAGATACCTCAAGTAGGTCTTATTTTTGTGTTTTGTGATTGCTATTTATGGTTCACTGGATTTTGTAAATCCTAAGTATTGTCAGTAATGTGCAGGCCACTTCAACATATTTGTTGGAGATTTGAGTCCTGAGGTCACTGATGCGATGCTGTTTGCATCCTTTTCTGTTTTCCCCAGTTGCTCGTAAGTTTTTCTTCAGTTATTTCTGTTGTCTTGTGAGATAAGATAAAATGTTCGAAATTTCTCTAAGTTCAAATCAACTGATTTAAACTTGTGCTGTATCAGTGATGCAAGAGTTATGTGGGATCAGACGACTGGACGCTCTAGAGGGTTCGGCTTTGTTTCTTTCCGTAGCCAACAGGTGGTGCTTATTAGCTTCGTCATATCTTGGTATTACATTTGATGTTTATCATTATACTAACGTGTCATTTGCCTTTACAGGATGCCCAAAGTGCGATAAATGATCTAACAGGTACTTGTGTGGGGAGAAAATTAGACGATTTTGACTATTAAACCATGTTCCATGCTTTTTCAGTTGCCTTCACGCTTATGCTAGTGGCCTTTTTATCTTTATTCAGGGAAATGGCTTGGTAGTAGGCAGATAAGGTGCAACTGGGCAACAAAAGGTGCTGGATCCAATGACGACCAGCAAAGCTCAGATGCCAAGACTATTGTTGAACTAACTAATGGCTCATCAGGTCTGTTGGCATTTAACTTTATTGAGTGTTTTAAAATATCTTTTGTTACAAAGGTTTGATCTTTAAGGCATTCATCTACATTGGTTGTGCAGAAGATGGGAAAGAGCCAATTAACAGCGATGCTCCTGAGAATAACCCCCAGTACACAACTGTCTATGTTGGCAACCTTGCTCCAGAGGTAAGAAACTTCCTTTCTTACTCTTATTTTATTTAGGTGTTCCGCTTGTTACCTGAGAGATCTGTTCTTTTCTTGCTGTTTCTCATTTGGCAGGCTACCCAGCTTGATCTCCATCGCCACTTCCACTTTCTTGGCGCTGGGGTCATTGAGGAGGTTCGTGTTCAGCGTGATAAGGGATTCGGCTTCGTGAGGTACAGTACTCATGGTGAGGCTGCTCTTGCCATTCAGATGGGGAACACACAATCGCTTCTCTGTGGGAAACCAATAAAGGTAGGGATTTTTTTATTACTTCATCAGTTCCCTCGTCTTCTTCCTTCATATATGTTACTTATAGACGATGGTATTCCACTCGTGTAGTGCTCTTGGGGAAGCAAGCCGACTCCACCTGGGACTAGTTCAAATCCACTCCCACCACCAGCCGCAGCAATTCCAATGCATGGCCTCTCAGCTGCTGATCTGTTGGCGTATGAGCGTCAGCTGGCCATGAGCAAGATGGGTGGGGTTTACGCTATGATGCACCCACATGGTCAGCATCATCCCCTCAAACAAGCAGCCATGGGGATGGGAGCTGGAGCAGGCCAAGCCATTTATGATGGCGGGTTCCAGAGCGTTGCTGCTGCCCAGCAACTTATGTATTACCAGTAATATATTGTCCTTCCTACTTGATCTGATGCTGTGTGGATTTACGGGAACATGTTAGGAGAGCCTTTTCTTCTGTCTTTTGATATGTGGCGGTGAAATGAGTGATCACCCGCAATATATATGATTATCACTGGAGTGCGTGCAATCTGTATTGGGGAGATGTAATACCATATGTAATGTCTTTCTTTTATTTTCTTCTGTTTTCATGACTGTCCCTTGTTTAGGGGATATGAGGTGTCTTTATAGCAGTCTGGAGTATGACTGAATGTTAAAAACCTGTTGTATTGAGAAACTTGATGCAATCGGCATCCTGTTGCTTCCAATAAATTACAGTGTAGACTTGATTTCCCGCATAATTCCATGCCTTCTGCTTTCTTTTGCCAAGGTTGTTCATCAGCTCTCGTTGAACATTCCAACTTAAGATCGGTGTTTCGTGTGGTCGGGTAGGGTATGTGTTCATATCGATGAAGACTAGTACAGGATTGGAACAGCAGTCGATCTAATTTAGTTTGGTCTCATCTTGATTTCTATGGTCTATTTCATTACAGATTGATAGCTCAGTTTGATAGGTGGTAGACATGGAAGCTCGAGCAAGCTTTTTATTTCATGCAAGTTTGAATCATTTACTGAACATTTACTATCACAAGTCACAACCAGAATCATAGCCCAGATGGTGATGTGATATCTTATCTTCAAACTTGCAGCTGTTACGTACATACTACATATACTCGATTACAGATCTGGATTTTTTACAGCCGTGTTTGATTGTACATATGATAGGAGATAAGTGGGAGAGGGAGGGGAGGAAATACCACATCGGCTAGGAGAGGATGTTTTGAATAAGAAAGGAATATAAAACAAAAGCTGGGTGCAACCATTGAACATACTTACCTGGACGGGATCTACGGGCGATCAATAAGGCCTGTGGTCTAGACCAGTAACCTCCATTGCACTTAGGAGGGGTGCTGGGCTAAGGTCTCCCCAATGTGGGAGAGCCTACGTCATAATTTGTGGCAGCGGGGGCCTGCGTTCGCGCGGCCCCTACCCAATTTTTAGTTCAACTTTTTTATCTATTCTTTGATATAGAGTTTCTTTGGGTTTCAACCTAAGGACCTGTGGAGGAGTTAGGTCGAAACTAGGAGGGGTTATAGTCCCTCATTTATATATAAAATCTGAAATAAATAGAGTAATCGATAAGGTCTTAAATCCCCCCCCCCCCCCCCCCCCCCCTCAAATATAATGGTTCAAGTTAGCTCCGTTACAAATTCTTGACTCCACTAAAGCCCATTAATTTTGTGTTCGCAACACACGAATCTTGCTCTTGGTTATAATTTTGTGTTAGTAGACATTTTAGGGAATTTATAATTAGTAAATAGGATTGGAGATAAGTTGGGGGAGGAAATACCACATCGGCTAGGAGATGATATATAGAATGAGAATGGCGTGTAAAATAAGAGTTGGAGTACAATCATTCAACATACTTACCTGGACGGGATCTACGTACGATCAATAAGGCCTGTGGTCTAGACTGGTGACCTCCATTGCACTTAGGAGGGGTACTGGTCTAAGGTTTCCCCAATGTGGAGAGCTTACGTTATAATTTCTGGCAGCAGGGGGCTGCGTTCGCGCGACCCTTACTCAATTTTGAATTCAACTTTTTCATCCGGTTTCAGTTATTGAGTTCCTTGGTATCCAATTCGAGGACCATCAGTGGAAGGGGCTAGGATGAAACTAGGAGGGGTTATAGCCCCTTCAAATTTAAAATACAGGTAAATTTACATTTTAAATCTCTAAGAAATAGAGTAATCGATAAGGCCTTAAACTCCCCTCCCTCAAATATAATGGTTCAAGTTAGCTTTGTGTATTCAAATTCCTGACTCCTCCACTGAAGCGCATTAATTTTGTGTTCGCAACACACGAATCTTGCTCTTGGTTATAATTTTGTGTTAGTAGACATTTTAGGGAAATTGATAGTAAATAGGATTGGAGATAAGTTGGGGGAGGAAATACCACATCGGCTAGGAGATGATATTTAGAATGAGAATGGAGTGTAAAATAAGAGTTGGGTGCAATTATTCAACATACTTACCTGGACGGGATCTACGTACGGTCAATAAGGCATGTGGTCTAGACTGGTGACCTCCATTGCACTTAGGAGGGGTGCTGGTCTAACGTCTCCCCAATGTGGAGAGCTTACGTTATAATTTGTGGCAACGGGGGGTTGAGTTCGCGCGACCCCTACTCAATTTTGAATTCAACTTTTTCATCCGGTTTCAGTTATTGAGTTCCTTGGGATCCAATTCGAGGACCATAAGACATAAGTGGAGGGGCTAGGATGAAACTAGGAGGACTATCAGTGGAGGAGTTATGATGAAACTAGGAGGGGCTATAGCCCCCTTAAATTTGAAATGTAGATAAAATTTCATGTAAAATTGGTAAAAAAAACAATTAGGAAATAAATTACTCAATAGGGCCTTGCTCCCCCTCCCCCAAATATCATGGTTCAAATTAACCCTTCTCATTCATATTCCTGACTCCATCATTGAATATCATTAATTTTGTGTTCGCATCACACGAATCTTGCTCTTGGGTTATAAATTTATTTTGTGGTTAGTAGACATTTTAGGAAATTGATAGTTAGTAAAGCATTCTCCATCACATAACATGTGCCAAATAGTATTGACAGTTTTGAGCTTTTCAGTCATTTTCTAATCTTGCAAGTACTGATCATAGATTAGGGGTGGGCATTAGTACGGTCAAACTGCTCCGAATCGCACTAAATCGCTTTTAACACTTGTGATTTGACATGCGGTCTACCTTTGTTATGGCTCTTGGTTAGCTGTTGAATTAACTCAAAATCGCGCAGTTCAAACCTGCAAACCACAAATAAACATTCGTTCAGACCAACTTAATAGCCTCCACAACCGTCACGGTGGCTCTGTCCAATTCCTCATTTTTTGGTGTATAGAAAGACCAACTTAGCCGTTTGATACAATGCATAAGAGATTGGGAAAGTGGGAAGAATCAGAAATGTGATTTTCATTCATGTCTGGGAGTGGTGGACCGATTTACCTTAAACGTCTGAAATTAATATAGGGATAAGAAGGCGTATTTTTGAAATTTTTGCGCCCCTCTGTCATTTTCTTCTTGTCCTATATTCAGATGCCAGAGAAGAGAGATAGACTTTTGACAAATCAAAGTTTACTTTCTGTACGATATAATAAGCAGGGAAAAAAAACACAATTTTTGGCTAAATCTATGGATTCTATCAATCTACGATCAAAATCCTTGTCTCCAAACGAGTCCTGCATTTAATTATCTATGGATCCTACTAAACTATATGTCTAACTATGCAAATGGAGATAACACTACCCTCTTATCCCTTTCCTTCCCTCTTTCCCATCCAATAAACTTTAAAGCCTCTAAAGTCTCCCAAAATTGAATTTCATGGCTAAATTCAATAGATATTGCTCAAACTTTTACCCGATTATTCTTTGATTGTTTTTAACATTGGTGATCCTTATTACAAACTCTTCATGTTGATCCTTATTCATGCACAACAACCCTTTCCCATGCACATCAGTCAACAACACTAAGTTGATGAGCATCTTGTGCTCGAAGATTATGGCTTGAAATGTGTAGTAGTCACTGGTCACTAAGGCGGTGATTCATGCTACCATTTGTGTAGACATATTATAGTATGCTCCTCCCCTGCATTGGTATAAACTATATTAGGGTAGCAACCGGAGGATTTAGGGACTTAGCTAATTGCTTAGAATGGCCATTGTTGACGACAAAAGCAACTCTAGCGAAGAGTAGATTGGAGGCCATGCATTTTGAATTTTGGACAACATATGAGTAAATTTAGCAATGAAATTTAATTTAGGGAGATGTCGACAGGGTTTTGAAGTTTATTGGATGGAGAAGAAGTAATGAAGGAATAAGTGGGTAGTGTTATCACGGTGGCAATAAGTGTTTATTTTATTTTATGTTTAGTCGGTAAATGATTAGTTAAATTCAATACATTTTCATGGAGCACAATAAAAATGCTACTTTAAGTATCATTCCAAGTCTAGAATCACGAGGAGGATTTATCGGTTTAACGAATCACATGTTCGTTTGCTCAAAGAAAAGGATCACAACACAAACTTCTTTCATGCAAATACCATCTAAAGACGCAACTCTAACTGCATTTTTTTGAAAATACAATGAAGATGGCTACATCGATGAGGGGGAAGCACTTAAACTACTTGCGGAGAATTGCTTTGAAGAATTCTTAACAACCCACCAACCCCCCAACATTGACCAATTGATGAAGGGATTCCCTAAACTTGTTACTCAAGAAATGAATGATGACCTATGCTCCCCATTTATCAATGAAGAAATTCGAAGCTTTGTATTCAAACTTGGGCATACAAAAGCTCATGGTCCTGATGGATTTTCATGGCATTTTGAGAAAAATATGAACGACAATGGGAACACGGGTTTGTGCGAGAATATCAAGTCGTTCTACCTGGAAATATGTTGAAAGATTGGAATAATGCGTATATTTCCAATGTCCCCAAAACGGACTCACATAAGCCCATTAGTCAATTAAGCCCTATAAGCTATTGCAACTTCTAAGATCATTACAAAGATCACGACTACCCATCTTAGAGATGACTCCCTAGGCTCATGTTGGAATTACAAATAGCCTTCACACAGGAGGTCGTTAAATACAAAAAAAAAAAAAAACATCATCGCAGTCCATGAAGTGTTCAACCACTTTAAGAAGCAAAAAAACATGCAACCAAAATTACATGTTGAAGCTGAATATGAAAAACGCATATAACTTAGTTGATTTGGATTGCCTTGGAGGCTTCTATACCTGTACGATTTTGCACCGACCTGGTACAACTGGATAAGAATGTGCCTCCGTTAGTCAAGTTCCCAGTCTTATCAAATCGAGAAGTTTCTAATCTCTTCTACCCTTATAGGGGCATTCGCCAGGGCAATCTTTATTGTAATGTTTAGGGTTAATACCACTGGAAATACCATTCTTTAGCAAAAGTGTCATTTATATTACGTACTTTCAATAAACACAAAAATATTCCAACGTATTAGGGGTTTGCGTCATTTGTGTTACGCGAATTTCTGTTGACCGTTAGAATTGATGGTTGACCTGACGGTGGCCAACCTTATGTCCACGTAGGCGACATGTGGATGCCACATTGGAAAAAATATTAAATAATTAAAAAAATATTATCTATTAATTAATATTATTCTTAAAAAAAAAGTTTCAACCCCACCCTGCCACCCACCCTATCTTTTCACAGCAATCGGGCCTATATTCCCCCGACCCGACGATTGGAGCTTAGGCCGGCGCCTGTGGCGGTAGAGCTTTGAAAGGCGGCTGGTCCCCAACCAGGAGCATGATCCAGGACTGGTGCATTCAGAACCTGAGGTTCGGGATCGAGAGGATCCCGACGCCGCGAGTTTCCGTCTCCGCCGACGAAATTGACGTTATGCTCTCTCGCCTGGAGAGGTCGAGCAAGCTGCTCGACGAGTACGACTGCCAGGAGCGGTCGAGGAAGATTGGAAGCTGAGGGAGTGAGAGTGAGCGGAACTGGATTTCCATCGCGTCCAACGGTGCCGCCGTCGTGCTCGCCGCCGCGTTTGACGGATTCGCGAGGGAATCCATGGAGAAGCGCGGCGTGGTTCTCGAAGAGCTGCTGAGCTCGATGAGCTGGATGTTTGCGATGACCAGCCGCGACGGCGGCGGAGGAGGATCAGCAGCAGCAGCTCGCGACCGCCTCGCTTCGCCAGGATCGGTCAAAGCTCTGGTTCTTTAAATCGAACGACAGTAGAATTGCCGCCAAGCAGAACTCGCTCGTCGCGCTCAAGGAATTGTTGGTTTCTTCATCTACCTCGAATCGAGCGAGAGTTGCTGAATCTATGCTGGAAATCGAAGTTTTACACCAAATCCTCTTTGGATTCGTGAGATCCCCAACGTCCCCGTCGTAACCAAGCTCTCCCTAACATTAATCTTCCAGCTCCTCCAGATCTTAAGCTTGAAATCCAACGACCACTCTGCTCCTCCGATCTCACTCCCGACGACGATCTGAAGCCTTCGCCTCCAGTCGCACGCCGATTGATTCTGCTTCGCTCATCAATTTTGGGGAAAAAATTTCTAGGGTTCCTCTGTTTCGCAGTCGAGAGAGACGAAGAGGAAAGGGTGAGAACGAAAAGAGCTTGGTGAGCCCCGTTTTTACATTTACCTTGTTTTTTTTTGTTTCAGTAAATAAATAAAACACCATTAATCGTACACGTCAGCGAGCCACGTGGATTCTATTAGGCGCTGACTGGGTTTTAAAAAATCTCACGGTTAAGTTTAACGGCCCAACTAACGGAAAAGACATTTTAGTATACAAATGACATATCGAAAATTACATAATATAAATGACACTTTCGCTAAACGATGGTATTTCCAGTGGTATTAGCCCTAATGTTTACTGCTCTCTCTTTATTGATAGAGAAAGTCATTGCTACTAGACACCTTAAATGACTGAAACTGAATTATAAATGCCCACTTCTTACTTAGTGTATCTTTGCATATCATACCGTGATATTTGGGAACGCTTCCCCTTAAGAAGAAAACCTAATCTTGGAGATCATCAATGACTACTAGGTCATTTTTGGTCAAGTGAACAAAGCAAAATCATCAATCTTCTTCCATCAAAACGTACCCCAACATGGAAAAAAATAAAAAAAATCATTCAAGCTTTGGGGTTTTATGAGACCAATATATCCGTAGAGTACAGTCAAACATTTTTTTTCTTCATATTAACACGAAATGATATAGTCATAATCAACTAATGTTTGATTCGATGAAAAAGTTAATAGTTTGATTATTATATTATTTTTGAAAAATTTGACATTAATATTTTTAAAGTCAAAAGTGTAACAGTTAACATTCTCTTATTAATCCAAAATTTTAATGCAAGAAGACAGAAGCCAACAATAAAAAAAAATGTAGATGAATAACAATATTATAACAATAAATAACAATCACAATTAATATTTAGTCCTTTTTACCAATACAGTGTGACACCATATTCCCCACAGGACAGACCAATCCAATCACAGACCTCAATGTCCAACACGCGGCGCCACCCGATTTGCCTGTCGCCCAAAAAAACACCACGTCACAAGCGCCGTAACGCTATCACTACCCACTGCATAGAAAACATCACCGGTATAAATTACTCCCCGCGAAAGCTTCATTTCATTTCCCCCCTTTTCTTTCCTTTCCTTTCTTCCTCAGTCAGCTAAGCTTTTACTGTGGCTCTCTCTCTCTCCCTCCCCCATTTCTTTTTTTTCTTCTTCCTTTCTTCCCTTTTCGTTTCCGTGTTTTTTTTCGTCTTCCTCACTCGGAACCCTAACCCAAAACACAATCATCACCACCAGCGGAGAAGGAAGCAGCAACACACGCGAGCAAGAAATTTTCTCAGGAAACAAACACCACCAACTCGTTCCCCGCGATTCTGCTTCTTCTACTGGTTCAATCTCGATTTCTGGGTCTTAGCTGGGTCAAAAATGCAGCACCAGCAGCAAAGGCTGAAGCAGCAGCAGCAGGCTTTGATGCACCAAGCTCTCCTCCAGCAGCAGCAGTCTCTTTACCACCCGGGCCTCCTCGCTCCGCCTCAGGTATCCCCCCTTCCATCTCGGTTGCCCTAGGGTTTTGATCGCCTGCTGCGATTTTTTTTTTTTTTTTTGCCGGGTGGTTGCGTCGATAAATTTTGCGATTTCTAGGGTTACTTATTTTGTTTGGGAAGCTAGAATGTGATTTTGGGAATGATTTTCTTGGGTTGATCGGGGGGTTTGGAAAGCTCGACTCGGGTAGGATAGTGGTAACTCTGCTGTTTTATTTTACCCGTTAAAGTTCTCCTTTCTAGCTTATTTTAGTAAAGTGAGATTTTTAGGCGACCCTTGTTGTTTGTTACTATGTTTAGCGCGTTGGATGGATTCATTTGTTCATAGCTTTGCTGCTGCATTGCTGCTTACTCAGCGTGGGTTTTACTTTGGCAATGTTCTTGTTTAGTCTGTAGTTAAGGGTTGCTGTTGTTTAATTGTCCATTTAATCGATATCGGTAGCTCTGTACGTTTCGTTCTAGCTTGACATGATATGGGCTATGTATGGAGTAAAGGCTTCTCCTTTTTGTTCTCCACTACTTTGTTTTGAACTTTTTAATTTCCTTTGCAGATTGAACCGATTCCGAGTGGAAATCTGCCTCCTGGTTTTGATCCAAGCACATGCCGCAGTGTGTGAGTGTTTTGTATTATAGTTTCACCGCATTGTTATTCTTACGTTTCTCTACCATAGCTTGAGTGTTTTCTTTCCACCTTGTTCAGTGGTCTTCTTCTTATATTAAGAATAGTTGGTGCTGTTTCTATGGCATAGTAATTAATGATTTCATTTCTACTGAATAATTGGTAACTAAACTTGCACACTCCTTACTTCTGCTATAAGCTATAAAATAATAATAATAATAGGGCAGGTACTGAATAATGTTGATCAAGTTGTTGGTGTATTTCCGCATTTCCCTGCTTTGTGTCTTGTGATAGTCTTGGAAGTCTGCTTATATATTTACTTATATATATCTTTTTTCTTCTTTTCTTTTTAAAATTTTAGTTTCTGTATTCTTGTAAAATTTACAGGTACGTGGGGAACATCCATACTCAGGTGACTGAACCACTTCTCCAAGAGGTGTTTGCCAGTACTGGCCCCGTCGAGGGTTGCAAGCTTATAAGAAAGGAAAAGGTGAGTTCTTCAGCTATTTGATTCTGATAACCACATGTTGTATTTAGTTTCAATTTGAGATTTGTTCAGAAATTCCAATCTGACAGTCGCCTCCGTGTTTGCATTGTGTGCTAGCAGTCCTCCTATGGTTTTATTCACTACTTTGATCGCCGATCAGCTGCTATTGCAATAGTATCTCTCAATGGGAGACACTTGTAAGTGTTGTAGCCTGTTCCTCTGCCATTATTTTGATTCTGCCTTATACTGGTAATATTCATGGGATGTCTTACTGTTGATGGAATTTCAGATTTGGCCAACCTATCAAAGTTAACTGGGCCTATGCTAGTGGTCAGAGGGAAGATACCTCAAGTAGGTCTTATGGTTGTGTTTTTGGGTTGATATTTGTGGTTTACTGGATTTTGTAAACCCTAAGTAATGTCTGTGATGTGCAGGCCACTTTAACATTTTTGTTGGAGATTTGAGTCCGGAGGTTACTGATGCAACACTGTTTGCATGCTTTTCCGTTTTCCCCAGTTGCTCGTAAGTTTCTCTTCAGTTATTTCTGTTGTCTTGCAAGTTAAGCTCAAATGTTGAAATTTCTCAAAGTGCGAATTAACCTTGTGCTGTATCAGTGACGCAAGAGTTATGTGGGATCAGAAGACTGGACGTTCTAGAGGGTTCGGCTTTGTTTCTTTCCGTAATCAACAGGTGGTGCTTGTTAACTTTGGCATATTTTGGCATTACAATTGATGTTTATCATTATACTTATGTGCCATTTGCCTGTACAGGATGCCCAAAGTGCAATAAATGATCTAACAGGTATATGTGGGGGGGGAGAAAATTTGCTGATTTCGACTATTAAACCATGTTCCGTTCTTTTTTCAGTTGCCTTCACGCTTATGCAAATGGCCTTCTAATCTTTATTCAGGAAAGTGGCTTGGTAGTAGGCAGATAAGGTGCAACTGGGCGACAAAAGGTGCTGGATCCAATGATGACAAGCAAAGCTCAGATGCCAAGAGTGTTGTTGAATTAACTAATGGCTCATCAGGTCTGTTGGCATTTTGACTTCATTGGAGATTATATAATATATCTTTTGTTACAAAGTTTTGTCATTCATCTACATTGGTTATGCAGAAGATGGAAAAGAGCCAATTAACAGTGATGCTCCTGAGAATAATCCCCAGTACACAACTGTCTATGTTGGTAACCTTGCTCCAGAGGTAAGAATAATTCCTTCTTGCTCTTGTGTATTTTTAGATGGTTAGCTTGTTACCTATGAGTGACCTGAGAGACTTGTGCTGTTGCTCATTTGGCAGGCTACCCAGCTCGATCTCCATCGCCACTTCCACTCTCTTGGTGCTGGGGTCATCGAGGAGGTTCGTGTTCAGCGTGACAAGGGATTTGGTTTCGTAAGGTACAGTACTCATGCTGAGGCTGCTCTTGCCATTCAGATGGGGAACACACAATCCCTTCTCTGCGGGAAGCCGATAAAGGTAGGTTTTATTAGTATTCTTCATCTGTTTCCTCTTCTCTTCTTCCTTCATACATTGTGTCTTATATACTAGAGTATTCCACTTTGGTAGTGCTCTTGGGGAAGCAAACCGACTCCACCTGGGACCAGTTCAAATCCACTCCCACCTCCAGCTGCAGTTCCAATGCCTGGCCTCACTGCAACTGATCTATTGGCATATGAACGCCAGCTAGCCATGAGCAAGATGGGCGGCGTTCACGCTTTGATGCACCCACATGGTCAGCATCATCCTCTCAAACAAGCAGGCATGGGGATGAGCGCTGGAGCAAGCCAGGCTATTTATGATGGCGGGTTCCAGAGCGTTGCTGCTGCCCAGCAACTTATGTATTACCAGTAATAATTTGCTCTTTCTACTCTTTCCGAGGCTTCGTGAGGATTTATGGGAATATATATATATATTAGGAGAGCCTTTTCTTCTGTCTCTGGTGTGGTGAAATGAGTGTTCACCCGCAAGATATATATATGATGATCACTCAGAGTGTGCAAATCTGTATTGGGGAGATGTAATGCCATCTGTAATGTCTTTCTTTGCGGTGTTATAACTTTTGGTCATGGTCACTATTACACTGTTGTAGGGATGAGGGAGTTCATGATGTCAGTAAGGGGAGGGGAGTTCGGTGTTTTTTTTAGCAGTTTAGTAGTTCTACTGTACGATGATGCTCTCGTGATTTGCTTTTACAGCAATTTGTCTCTTGTTCAGATGTTATCTAAAGTACTGAAAGGCTTCATGCCATCCTTTTCCGCTTCCTTCCAATAAATTATGGTGTCGACACTTGACTTTTTATATAATTTCAATATTTCATCGAACGTGCTTTATTTTGGCAAGGTTGTTAGTGGTGTGCATCTTATCAGCTTTCGTTTGTTCCAATTTAATGATCCCAAAGTTGTAGTGGCCAGGAGGATCTATGATCATACTGATGAAGAGGTCGAGAGTGAAAACTGCATCGATTCAGTTTGGTCTTATATTGATTAGTACTATCCAGTTTCCAAGCTAAGAAAAGAGTTCGAGAGTCAAAACTATAATCATTCGAAATTTGATGCAAAACGTAAATTCAGCTCAAAATAGTAGCTGAATTTGGCGGGAGTCGGCACTCTGGATGCCTCAGACTGATATTGAAGTATGAAAACAGGCAAAATAAAGCTCAAGGAACATTGGTAGTTAATACAGGCAGCATTATCCACCACATTAGATGTCCAGGGTATGGGCATTACCAACAGGATTGAACAAAAACAGAAATTACCAGAGGTTGAAAGATCCAACTCTACTTAATCTACTTGGCTTTTCAGTCCGTTTCAAGTCTTGCAATGTACTGATCATAGAACTTCCCAGCTTGCTCAAGGTCTCCAAGTTCAGTGTAACAGTCCGCAATAGCTCCATAAGCTTCCGTATTACCAGACTCTTCCCCTTCCCTCTTTGATATCGCCAGAACCATCATATGGTACTGTATCGCATCCAGATACTGCCCCTGCCTTTGCAGTGAGGCTCCTGAACAACAAACCAGATTCTCAGTCAACTAACCCACTATACTATGGGTGAAACTGGTTAAGGATACGCATTAAAACAAACCTAAGCCTCTTGCAGCCTTTTTCTCCTCTATGGGGTCATTCAAATCTTGAGCAAGTGTAAGGGCTGCCTTGAACTCATCGAAGGCCTTCTGCGGATCTTGGTTCCTCAAATAGTTCTTCCCACTCTTCAAACGGGAGATCAGTTCTTGCTTCCTCGAATCAATTATCACTTCATCTGAGATCCTGCTGCCAACAGGTGCATAGCTAAGCGTGGGGGCGTATGACTCTATCTTGGCTTGTCTTCTTAGGGCAGCATTGATCTGGCGTAGTTGCTCGTTCAGACGCTTCAGTTCTCCTTTCCTCTGCCGTGCGAGCAAACCTATGACGTAGGTGGCAAACTATTCATGAAGGCTCCCAGTTTCTCATTCATTTCAATGATGAGGTGTGAATTAACCGCCACCATTTTTGTATTCGACCCCAGAAAATTGATAGGCTCTACTACCGTGTATTTACTAGAGAACCTCTCTAATGACATGAAGAAAGGATTATATGATGTCAAACCTCCAACAGTGGCTCCAACCACAGCGACAAACAGTAGCACGGGCATGGTCATGAAAGAGTTGCTGTCAGCCTCACATGTTTGAGCCAGGGCTTCAGAAGGAGCAGCCATGACGAAAGCATTAGTCAACAATGCTACTGCTGAAGATCTTAAGTACATTTGTCCCTGCAAATCATGTAACAGGCATGGTAAGGGAAGGGTTATTTAAGGCCCTTAAGGGAAAATTCAGCTTGTAAACTTCAACTTTCTTGATCAATAGCCAGAGAGACTTTATAGGGTTGTAGACCTAAAACATGGCTCAACATTATATACCTTACGCTAGAATGGGAAGGATCACAGATTTGCTACAGTGTTAACGACAGCATTCTAGGCGATTAAAGCATAGTGTAATTAGTTCAAGGTGATGAATTTATGATTCTTTGCTTTCTCGTATGCATACTAAGGCCTTACAAGCAGAAGCATTAAGGAAACTCAATCAAGCAACAGTTTGGACTCTCACACAGATGATAAAGGGACTCACCATCGTACCTGATGAGCTGAAAATAGGTTAAGAAGCACATCTCGATTTTCACTGGACGAATGCCTTTGATTTCTACCCAGTAATATTGGCCTAGTAACATAAGGTACGATAGAGGCATCTCTAGATGATAATGGTAACATCGACTTGTCTACTTTGAACAGCCCACAAGGCAACTTCCCTTTCCCTGCATAGATAGATAAAATGAAGAAACCACTTTAGATATGCAAGATCAACAATCAAATCATCCAAACTTCTCCAATCCCAATCCGTTTCGCGCTAAACCTGGACATGAATTTTACAACAAAACCAACGATGCATCAATCATCCGAGCACTACAAAATTCAGTACTCAATCTTCACATTATTTTTCTTTAACTATTGCCTTCACATGCTGCAGTGAGCTATTCCATCCATCACTGTGTAAGACTTCTTCTAATCGCGATTAACACTCCCCGAAACTCACGGGACACCAGCAAACTTTTTAAGAAACGCAGAACCAGAAAGCAGAACAGACCTACCATTACCAAAATCTCGAGGAAGATCAGCACTTAAACAACTCTAACAAAAACCCAATTCCAGATTCAACGGAAGGCATTTCCTTTACACTCTACTTTCCACTTCTAAACTTCGGAACGAACACCAAGTTACAGGGTCGAGTGAGAGAGCTAGGCAACCTCAAGTAAGAAAGGGAGTTGAGTGCGAAAAATGTGCTGGGAATCGGCCACTGACCGGGGAGATGAGATTTGGCGGAAACGAAGAGATCAGGTGGCGGAGAAGCAAAGCAACGGATCGCCACCGCCATTGATCTTTCCTCTTGTGCTTGTGAATATCTTGATGATAACTGATAAGGAAGCGGTTCCCTTTTTAGTTTTTCCTGACTGTTGGCCTCTTCACTGCACTTATGGTGGGCGGGTAGCGTAATCGGTTTGGGATAAACTAAAATAAAAAGAAACCGAGCTCCCATCTTTTCTCTCCTTTTGCGGTTTTGTCATCTAGCTTCTTTTAAAAATTCGACGGGCCGGATCTCTGGGCTCGACGAGGACCACCAGCACGATTAGGTTTCCGAATAACCAGAAGGCCCATAGGTTGAGGCCCAATAGATTCAATCTAATAGCGCACACCATTAACGTACAAAGAAAAACAATATTTTTTTTGTACAATATATTTACATGCAACCACATAAGATAATTACATATATCAATATTATTTGATACAAGATCATCAAAAATCAATCCCTTTTTCAACACAAGCTCTTAAATTTCAAGAACCGGTCCATATTCAGCAATCGTTTTTCATTACGTAATTGATGTGCTTTATAGCGGCGGAACTATCTGTGACTGTACATAATTTTGAGCATACTATAGTTATCTATTACTATATCTATCAGTTTTGTGTTGGCCACGAAAGTGTGACATAAGAACTTTTCAAAATTAATTAATTAAGGAAGCGGTATTTCACACATACACGTAGCTGGCGGTGATTGGATCCAGATCCAATAATTCAGCCAAATCCCTCAACTTGGGGAGTTGACAGGATGCAAACACAAACCAGTCCCCTCCATTTTGAGATCCTTAAAACACAAAAGAAAAAGAAAAATCACAATAATTCAAAGAATTAAATTCCCCTTTACAAAAAAAAAAAATCCCAGTGTGAATAATCGATTGCTTTCCCAGATCAATTTGCATCCAGTAGCTTGTAAGGACCACCGGCGGTTCCCGTTTCGATTTATCGCGATTGTAATAACAACAATAATAGAGTAACCCATATCGTAGCGAGTATATTTTTTTTTTGTCAAGATTCAAAAGATGATGATGTCGAGTACGTAGGTACGTACGTAGAGGATCGCTTCTGCATGCATGCAGGTTTTCTTTTTCTTTTTCGTTCTGAAATCTCGTCTTCGACTGATGTTCTCACGTACTTAATCAATCAAACGCCTACAAGCAATGATCAATGGATCTCCCAATTCGGTGACCGCCATCACGTCGTCATCATCATGAGTAGCGGGAAGGCGTCGGCGCCGGCGGCGAAGCTGGAGGAGGAGCAGGTGGAGGAGCTGCGGGAGATATTCCGGTCGTTCGACCGGAACAAGGACGGGAGCCTGACGCAGCTGGAGCTGGGCTCCCTGCTGCGGTCGCTGGGGCTGAAGCCGAGCGAGGAGCAGGTGGAGGCGGTGATCCACCGGGCGGCGGACGCCAACGGCAACGGGCTGATCGAGTTCTCGGAGTTCGTGTCCCTGGTGGAGGCGGACCTCCTCCTCCTGCACTCCGCCAACTCCAAGTGTCCGTACACGGAGGAGCAGCTCCGGCAGATGTTCACCATGTTCGACAGGGACGGCAACGGCTTCATCACCCCGGCCGAGCTCGCCCACTCCATGGCCAAGCTCGGCCACGCACTCACACCGGCCGAGCTCACCACCATGATCCGGGAGGCCGACGGCGACGGCGACGGATGCATCAGCTTTCAGGAGTTCGCCAACGCCATCACCTCCGCCGCCTTTGACAATAACTCTTGGTGCTAGCTAGCTAGCTAATAATGAAGCTGCCTTTCTTCTTCGTCACCGGTCCACGTATTTATTTATATATACACTTTCAAACGTACACACTATGAGATAGTATGTGATCATTATTATACACGAACGTACGTACGTCTTCTAAGTCCACACACCAATGTTGTTTGTAAGTTAAAATTTGATTCATGTACGTAATTTTTGAAAACTTTACCATATTTGATTTATGCCAGCTAATTAAAGATCGATTTTCTTTCTTTTTCGATATGCTGAAACTGATCTCTTTTGCTGTTCGATTGTTGTTTAACTAAAAGTCTGATCTCTAGATGATGATATATATATAATTTTCAATGGGATGAATGTGATTAGCTATCTAGGAATTACATCGTCCAACGAACTTTACGACTTACAACATAGTGACTTATAATCTCAAAGTGTAGCTGCATGGTGAGATTGTTAGATCGGTTAGAAGAGTAATAGAAGTAGATCGTATATATGGGAAATGCTCGATGGAATGAGGTCTGTATAATAAAGTCTTTCTGTAAGAAGAGCAAGTTAGCTAGTCAAGTTTATGTAGTAGATTAGTTGGCCAGGTTTAAAGTAGAAGGAGCATCCTTGTATATACTTCTTAGAAAGAACATTTTTCACAATGAATTAGGTGAAAAACACACTTCGATATCAAATGAGTAATGAAATTATGAAGAAATTTTAAATGGATATAATGCGGGTACCGTTTTCACAGTTTGGATATATAATAAATACAATTAAAATGTTTTAGAATATGCACGCATACAATGCAAGTTGTATTATAGAAAAGTAACAAAAATTAACATATATCATTTTTACATTGGAGCCACCTTAAACATAATCCTAACTACGCTACCGGTCAAAACACCCAGGCCACTTTCTTTGTGGTACAAAAGTTTGCAATTTGATATCCGTCATTACGTTCATGGATGGAAAATGTGAGGGTGCAACCATGCGAAAGCGGACATTAATTAATTGCAACTAAAAAAGTGTAAGGGATTAGTATACAACGAAAACTATACTCGCGTACTGATATCTTATGCAATCGAAAAAGGTATAATTTTTTGTTGTTAGCCGCATATGCTTTCTTGTCTTCTAGTGCATTTTTTATTCGAATTGCAATGACAATGTCTATTTTACTTTGGATATGCAGATGACTGAATATTTGGAGTTCGATTACCATCATGAGTCTATGCGTCTATATAGATCCTGTTCATGGATTAACGAAAAATGTGCCAAAACTCTTTTTGCCTATGCCATTGAGGGAGTGGTGGATTTCTTGGATGAGGCCCCACAATATATGGGGGTGGGGGGGGGGTTTACAAGAAAGAAAGAAGTTCAGAGTGGATGTAGATGAAATTTCTTACTTTGGAATTCTGACTTTGGCTAAGGTACACTTGAAGTATAAATGCGACTTGACCCTGAGATCCAAAATGGAAAATGACATACATGAAATCAAATCTGATAAGGAAGTGATGGATGGTTTGCTTTTGGATGCATCCTAGACTGACGCGGTTACCTTGTTCACACAAGCTATTGAGTCTGACAATGGTGTGATGGGAGACAAACGAGAGTGAAGAATTTTTTTGAGGAGTATTCTCTAATGATGCACACAATATGGGTGAGAGTTCTGTTGCTAGGGACATAGTCAAAGTGGCTGACTCTAACAATGTCGATACATATGAGGAACACAAGAATGAGAAAATGGTCAACACTCCGGATAATTGTTTCGGAGAAGGGGTTGACCATGTTAATGCATTCACACGTGTACTCGATGAGGAACCAGATTAGTTGTTTGCGGATCTACCCTTTATGATCCAAACTGTGATCACAAGCAATTAGAGTTTGTGTGAGGATTATGTTCCTTAGTATTCAACATTTTAGAAGAGCCATCGCCAAACATGCAGTTGTTGTTGGGGCGAGTTTGGTGTACACTAAATAATTATGGTAGGAGGGAGTTCACATGTAAAGATCCTACTTGCAAATGGAGGGTCTAGATTAATTGAAGGTTAATTAGTTGTGTATCCCCAATTACCCATTATACATTTCCTCCTACCAGGAGGAAACAATTTTTCGGTGAGGCAGTGAACATATGAAGGGGAGAAAACTCTCACCCACATTGTGGTCTATTCTCATCCTTCATAGCTCCATATTGGGTGAGGCAGTTCACACAAAGATGGTGGCTAAGTTATCACACTTTATAAATATGCAACACCAACTATATAGTGCTAAGTTTTGGTACTACTCTCAAATCTCACTTACATAGCCTTGAGAAGCGCAAAATAATAATAAGCTGAGCAAACTCTCCATTGCCAAGGCTGTAAAAGTGACTCGTTCCAACTACAACATCTTGATCGACGGTCAAGTATAACCGCCGACCGGGTGTAGTATAGGGCAAGCAAGCAATAAAAATTTATTGTACCGCGGGGATATAGGCTTACCCTACCTCGGTTCAGGGTTCGTTATCTAGCCAACCTAGGATGATGATTAATAAAACTAAAATAACCAACCTAAACTAACACTAACCTAGCTATTTAAAAGGTTTGGAGCTCTCTTGGGTTGAATCATCCTAGGTCCATCCTTTGGATCGATGGACTCCCTCGGGAATGACCCGAAACGACGAATCGATGAATGGGGTGTTCTCTATTCAACCTAGGGCAACCCTATATTATAGGAGATTGATGGAATCGACTCCCTTGGGGATCACCCGGACGATATAAGACGAGGAGTTACCCAAAGACTCCAATAATGGGCTCTAAGGGGATTTTATCCTTCCTAGGTCAAAAGCTCAAAACATGAAAATGGAAACCCAACTCATGCAATCCATGAAAGCATCCATCAATTAAGTAAAATCATCAATCAAATATGGAATTTGTCACATACATTAACAACAAACCAAAACCTAGACTTAGGGTTCTTAAACCCAAGAGAAGAGGGTGAATTTCTAGAGAGAGAAGAGAGATATTACAAATTGAAGCCCAAAATATTATTATTCTTCTTCTAGGCTTGATTTCTTGCTTCCAAACTTGATCAATGCCTTCAATTAAGCTCCAAGTTCACTCAAGAACTCTCTCTCTCTCTCTCTCTCTCTCTCTCTCTCTCACTAGAACTCCCCTTTGGCGTTTTAGGTCGAAACCCTAGAGCGAGAATCAAATTCTTCTCCAAAAAAACCAGCTCTCCCTTCTTCCTTCTGCTACAGCCTTTTATACCCAAATCGAAAGCGTTTCACGGTCCGAGTTCACGGCCATGAACTCAAAGCCTAGACCGTGATCTCAGCCAGAAACGCGTCGTTTCACTAGGTCACTTCACGGTCTGGGACTGGAGTTCACGATTGCGTGACCGTGAACTAACTGGTCTCTAGTGAGATGCCCAACTGTTCTGGTTCCTCCGCGTTTCGCGGTCTCGAGGCAATTGCCACGGTCGCACTTTGGACTTTTCTCCACTTTTTCGGGCTTTTCAACCTCCAATCAACCCGAAACTCGTCCTCGACCTTCACACACATGCTAGGACCTGAAATGTAACAGAACAAGCACAATCTAGTGTAAAATTTGTCGAGGGACGACGATATGCTAAGCAAAACGAATAAGAAATGAGGGGTAAAATGTGTACAATTGAACTCAAATAAAAAAACGAACTTCTTTCTTGATATGTTTGACTACCTCTCCTACACTTTTGTCAACAGTCCGAAAATTTATGTTGCATATTTCACGCCAAAGCATTGATACATGATAACACCATATACCCTCCTATTTAGCTGCCATCTATTGGTCCTGACTGTGCACGATTACAGATTTTCATTAGACAATCATCAGTGTCAATTGGTCTGCAGCCTTTTAACTTGTGTCTCGTCTTAATTCGATTCATGATCACTAGTCAAGTAAAAAAGTCCATGCTTTGGAATTGCATATCCCCCGAGTATCTTGTGCCAATCTACTTTCGGTCCTCTAGGTTTTATCATTTTCCATACTGTTTTGACAGAAAACCTTTGCATTGGCTTCCTATCCCAATTGACTTCACTATTTCGTTATCTTTCGAGCCTAAACTAGAACCATGTTCTGAGCCTCATGATCTTTCTACATAATCAAGGTCCAACTTGAGTTTTTGGAAATTCCAAAAGGTTTATTCCCTTCATCCTATGCCTCAAAATCCAGCCCACGCAAAAGGGCCACCCTCCTCCTACGTATAGAGATCCCTTAATCCAAAGCTACCCTCCTCCTTAGCCAATGTTATCAAATCCTAGGAAAAAATCCCAAAGTACACTAGTTCTTAAAAAAAATTCCCAAAATACATAAGTTATAAAAAAAATTCCAAAAGTACACATGTTTGAGCATCACCGTTTTAGACAAAAGCGGTGAAGGTCATCACCGCTTTTGAATCGAAACAATTTGATTTTTTTTTATCAAAACAATCTCTGATTTCATTACTTTTTTATAGATGGGTGCCGAGATATACGATCCTCGATTGTATATCCATTATGGCCCAAGGGATGCGAGTCTCTTAACCGATCAAGAAGCTCATCGCTCCCGTGCCATTTGGGATAACAATCCGGTAATTTGATGATCTGACTTGCTTTATTTTATTATTTTCTAATGTTTTATTTTGCTTTATTTAATCTAATAAATTGATGTTTTTCCTATTTTTTTTAGGAATCTCTTGTTCCCGTGGTTCATAAAGGGACCAATAACTTGCCCGCTTGGCATCCAAGGTTGGAGCCCTATATAGCGAGGACCGGTTTGGGAATGTTGCGCCATTTCTTGCGGATCGAGATCGACAACGATCTGCTTACGGCAATGGCGGAACGATGGCGTCCCGAAACCCATACATTCCACCTTCCGGAAGGGGAAATGACGATCACCCTCAAAGACGTGGCGATCCTCACCGGGCTTCCTATATCTGGAGATGCCATCATTGGTTCCACGACCAACCCCGGAGGAGGTTGGGGGCCGCTCATCCGTGATCGTTTGGGCTTCGACATGCCGACCACCACACCAAATCAAGGACGGGGGCATCCACCGTTGAATGCGGGGCAAGTGTCGGTCCCGTGGCTGGTATCTCACATCCAGCAAGAGGTGGAAATCAATGACGAGACGCCGGAAGAACAAGTCGAGCGCTACGCCCGCATCTACCTCATCGGTTTGGTGGGTGGATTTTTGTTCCCCGACAAGTCCAACCGGTGGATTCAAGGCATATGGTTGCCATTGCTCACCGGTGACTGGGATGCAATTGGAGAGAAGAGTTGGGGATCGGCCGTGCTAGCGGGCGTATACCGGGAGCTGTGTACTTGCTCGAAGGTTGGGGCAAAGCAAGCTGGTGCTGCAATGTTCATTGTTCAACTGTGGGTATGTGAGCATCTTCCAATGTTCGCACCTCTCGACCCACGTCCATACCGGAGAAACGATGATGAGCTCAACCTTCTGCAAAATCTCCCATATGGTGTCAAGTAAGTTTATTTCGTACTTAGCCCAATTTAAATTTTATTACATGCTTGAGCTAGATTTAAATTGAATTTATTCCGTACTTAGCCCAATTTAAATTTGATTACATTAGCTAGATTTAAATTGAATTTATTCCGTACTCAGCCCAATTTAATTTTGATTACATGCTTAACTAGATTTAAATTGAATTTATTCCGTACTTAGACCAATTTAATTTATTATATGCTTAGCGATATTTCAATTAAATTGATTCCGAACTTTTACTTACAAGGTGGATAGGAGCAAATACGAATGACCATCAACCTGAGCATTCGTTACTGTTTTATCGTTCTGAGTTAGATAAACCATGGTGGAATCAGGTAATCATGTTTTGTCCATATTTGAACAAGTTCAATTTTATCAAAGTAAATGGTCGTTAATTCCGAATTTTTGAATGAATATAGGTTATATGGGATCCATATCCACGTGAAGTGGTTGAGCTGCATCATCTTAGGCACCCTCTGGATCACGAGACGTGGTTGTGCAAGGTGCCATTGATCTGCTGGCACATTGTGGAATGACACCTACCCGATCGATCCCTGAGGCAATATCGAATGGAGCAACCAATTCCACAAGACCCGCCAGCAGGTTTCAGGGAGCTACATGCTATGGACCTCCGAAACACTGCAAACTGGCAGCTAAAGCATGGATTCTACATCAACATCTGGGAGAATCGATCCCAATGGGTGGTGCAAGGGATGCCGGAGACGAGACCGATGGGCTACCACGATGGGTACATGCAGTGGTATCAGAAGTTCACCCTGAGATGGGTGTCAAAGCAAGGTGCTGTGATGGGTTCGTTGGTAAGTCATCCTAATCTCCCTCATTCTAAAATATATTTATTTTAAGGTTTAGTTAATTTGATATATTTTGTGCTTTCCTTAGGTTGATGGTTTGGAACACGCGAAGTACACTCTCGAAAGTGCTCCAACCATGGATGAGCGGAAGACTACTTGGTTGACCCGACTTATGAATAACCTCCTGAGTTGCACCAGAGAGCAAAGGAGGGATGTCGTGGCCTATCCTCCCGTTCCTACCCCGGCACGACCCTCATTCCGTGATGATGCAGCCATTGTGCCCCCGGTTGAGCCCCCACGAAGGAGCAAACGCAAGCCTTTGCCTACGTTCGAAGAGGTGCGTACCACTCAAGAAACCGAGCTCCCTGAACCGTTCGAGTACCAGTGGGCACCTGCAGCGGATGCTGGTGGAGGGTCATCGAGTCGTGGAGGATCTCAGGAATGGGACACTTTCTCTCATGGGTTCTCTCAATTCCAACATCAGCAACAAAGTTCGATGTACAGACCCCGCAACAACAAACTCCGAACCCCCCGATCATTCGTCAAGCTACCGGTCCAACTCAGCCACCACCACCACCATATGTAACCCCAGTTGGGGCTCGGGTCAAGAGAAATCCGCGACCAACCGTTGAGCGAGCCCGCCAAGAAGCAGCGGCGGAGGGGGGAAGAAGGGGTCGAGGACGTCG